ATTGAGCTTGTTGCTTGGGCATGCAGTGAAATGGTTTCTTTATTCAACCAAGTTCCACACATTATTTTATCACTCTTTGTCATTGTCAGAAATGTAGAAAAACTTGGGAAAAAGGGTTGTTGTCTTCCACCTTTAAAAGAAGTTCTGAAAGTTTGCAAAGGAATGTTTTATACAGAGACTTAATGCACATCCTGGTTTTATAAATATATCGTTTTAGTAAATCTGAAGATATTCTTTCTAGAAGGTGTTTTTAATAGCATGCAGGCAACTACCAGTATCAGCCTGATAACTTCTTTTTTGAAATCTATTCTTTTATGTTTAGGTGTTGATCAGTGCATCCAGAAGTTTCTGGATGTCGCAAGACAAACGGAATGCTTTTTTCTACAAAAAAGACTGCAGCTATCAGTCCAGAAACCAGAGCAAGTAATTAAAGAGGTATGTTTAAATTAATTTACCTGTGTTGTGCTAGATGAGATAAGCTGTGTACCAGTACAGTTAATCGCCTCATTCACATTAATTTTGGGTTTCTCAACACAATGCTGTATCTTAAGTTGCTAGAACTTGACTGTTAACATAGCTCTCGCCATGAACCTGGAGAAGCTGGGTGCCTGCTGCTCAGTGGAGTACTGGAACACAGATGGTAGTTTCATTGGAAGAAACAAACCAGTTAGTCAAATTTTGCTGGAAGTAACGATCTCTGAAATATCTGATCTAGGGGAACAGAACTAGTGCATTCACAGTGCATTCCCTCTGTTTCCATTATTAGAATCCCTATAAGATCAGCTTGAAAACTCAAGCTAAAGAAATTATATGCTCTTTATGTGAGGTGGTTATTCTTATGAATACTGTCTGTTTACTAATACACATTTTTTCATCCATAGGATGTTTCAGAATTAAGAAATGAATTGCAGAGAAAAGAAGCATTAATTCAGAAGCATTTGGGTAAACTGCGACACTGGCAGCAGGTCCTGGAAGATATCAGCGTACAGCACAAAAAGCCTGCAGAAATGCCTCAGGGTCCATTAGCTTACCTAGAACAAGCACCTGCTAATATTCCTGCTCCAATGAAGCAAACATGATCTTTGATTTTGCATATCTGAATATTCTTACCAATGCAAAGCAGTGGTGTTCTTTTTACTTTGTATGCTTTTTGTATAATGTAATTTGTACTACAAATATAAATAGTTAAGACAAGCAAAATAAATTATCCTTTTTTTTTTTTTTTTTGCAAAAATATGGATTGGTTTTGTATTTCAATGGAAAATATGCAGAGTTGCTATTCAGGATGCTTTCTGGTAGAAGTGTGTTTTCCACACTTTCCCTCTTTCTAGAAAGGGTGGCCCTAGCTCTCCCCTAACTATATCTTTGCTGGTATGATGAAAATACTTGCAAAGATTACTGTTTGGTTTTACTGGAATATTTAAATGTTTTGTGATCCAGTAATTATCCGTAACTACCACTGTAGAAGCACCCTTAGAATTTTCTGTATCTAGGTCAGATGAAGAGTGTGCTTTTTTTGAAGTGAACTGTCCATCTCCACTGGACTTTTTACTCACCTCATGAAGGGCTCTTGGCACATATAAATTTGTTTCTTACAGGATGAAATGAAACTGCAAAATTCATACCCCTGTAGGGGATAGGTAGTGCAGGCCCAATGTTACTGATGTTCTGTCTGTTAGGCTAGTGTAGAAATGGTCCAAAATACCTACGCTCAAAAGAAAGACCGCTCATTGTGGTTGTTGGGTCATCAGCACTGTCCAGTCTACAGAACTAGCTTTTACTGGGGTGCACTATTTAGTAATCCAAAGGTAGCCAAAAAAAGATTTCGGAGGTAGAAACAGCAAAGGAGTCCTGTCTCTCTATTGCTAGGCAGCAAGCTTAATTCATCCGTATAGGCAGGAAAGCCACTTTCTAGGGACATCATTTTGGGGACAGAATTAATAAATTAGAATATTGTAACCCTGGAAATTAGAATTAGTAATTGTGTATTGAACTTCCTAGTGTGCTTTAAAAGTTTTTGGGGCAGAGTGGATGAAAACTCGTAACAAAAAACTTAGCCCTGTACATACCTGATCCTCTCACAGATACTGAGGCACTCCTCAACGTTACTTACTGCACACCGTTTTATCCCCTTCTTGATTGCATGTATAAAAAGTGTCTTTTTGCCAAATCTGATGCCAAAGTCTCCTTCCAAACCGAACAGTTCATCTTGGAAAAAATACTAAACAGCTGGGATGAAAAGTATTGGCTTGTAGAAGCGTTCTGCCCCGTCTGCCACCTTTTTACCATGGGTGAGGTGCAGCGGCTGTTTTGTAGTAAGTGCTTGCATCTGTTGGTACAGTTCTTGCTGGCTGTTTGATGTAAGAAGGTTAGGCTGGAGGTATGGCTGTTTGCACACATAAAATTTGCTATGTAGCTAGGACCTGCTGGTTGAAATTAAATGGGGATTCAAATTGTACAGCAGTTGAAGATGAACTATGTTGTCATAAAACACTAGGCTGCTGGTTGCACAATTCCCTGCCTTTCACATTTGTTGATGAATTATCTAAGGGTTAATTTCTTCATGGCTGTTTTTCCTCCCTGTAATGAGTTAGCTAGCATGATCTGATAAATGTAGTCATTCGGCCACTTTGCATTTTGGAGGGCGTAAGAACAATATTGAGATAAAATGTACAAGTACGCAGTTCCCATAAATCTGGAACTCAGTGTATCAGTCTGACTCACACTTCAGCATAACATAGCACTATTTTGCAAAACATGAAAATGGATGATTTACAAGCAAGTTTTAATGTTCGTACTTACATATTACCCTAATTTATCAGGCTGATTGTTACATGTATTGAAGTGCAACAGGAATATTATATTGCAACGCAGACAATACAAAACAGTTTATTAAGCAAACCAGAAACTATTTCTAAACCAGCTTGCTATAAACATGCTATTCTTGGAGGTATACTGCATGCTGTACAGCTTAAAATAAGTTTAACAAACTTAAAAGATTACATTAAAAACTTAAAAACTTAAAAAATCACATTACTATAATGCAGAAATCATTTTAAACAGCTGATGAAGCAAATGTATAAACTTACAGAAATCACCTACAGAAGTAAGATCTTTTTTCAGCTGGAGCCAGATTGACAGGACGTATCAGAGACCAAATTGCATATTTAATGTAATTGTGGAGTGGTACAGTCTCTTGATTAAAAAGTCTCTTCATGTAACAGTATCCAGAACTTTGCTTTTTCTTCATTTTTTACAGAGGTTGTTAAAAAAATGCATTTTTCTGAAATCCATGCCTATAACTCTGTAGTAATTAGACGTAAGAGAGTGCAGTCGTTCCTAATTACTTACTTGGAAATTACATCTTCCTTTTTTTTTTTTCCCTTCCTAAATTATATATTGGACTATCATTCCCTAAAAGGAAACAGGAAGAGCTTTTCTAGTAATTCTGAGAAATACGGAAATAGTTTGCTTTAAAATGAAAAATATTTAGTAAACCATTCTTGATGCTGAGGGTCTTGGTTTAGGTCATCTTTGGTTTGTGGTGGTTCATTGTCATGTGTCCTGTGCAAACAAATAAGCATTAGCATCACTTACTTACAACCTTATCAATATTTAATACTTTCTTCCTGGAAAAACTAATGATCCTATTAATGGATCTGTGGTCACATGAGCTGGATGAGGCCAAAAGGTGCCAGCTACAATTTCTAGTGGGATCTGTGCTAGCCAAGTAACTGGGCTAACAGCACTGGCAGTAACACAAAGCGTGAAAGGAGAGCTAAACAGCTATGGAGAAATGTTTGAACATAAATCTTGACATCTAAAAAAAAAAAAAAAAAAAGCATGCTTCAAGAATATGAAGTCTTGAAAATCAGAACATGGCAGCTGCAATTCACTCTTAAAAATACGAAATACATTTTATGCATTGAAAATGTTGGGTAAAAGTTTATTTGGAACTGAAGGATTTATCTGAATATTAACTGGCTTTTATAATCAATTCTATTACACAGTCCCTGATTTTTCAGCATTCAGGATGCCTTTTTAATACATTCATTTCAGTTAGCTTATAGTAGCAAATATGACTTCATTTATGATTGACTGATTTAAAAGAGTAAGTAAGTAGCAGCCAAGCTACACTCAGTCTCCCTGTACGTTTCCCTTTAAAATACAAATCTGATTTGCCTTGGCAGTCTTCTGGCATGACACAGAATGCTTTTATCTTTAAGGTGTAGGAATTGCCAAACTGGATCCAAGCCTGTGTCCTGGGTTATTGTCTTTGGCAGCAGACAGCACCATCTGCCTTCAAGGAAAGCACTCTCAAGCACACAATTTACATGAAAACTAAACTCCACTAGGAGATAGGTGAGAAGGCTGGCTTTTGTAGTGGTATAGTATGAAGTATAGTGGTAGCTTGTTGGGGTTTTTTTAAAATTTATCATTATATCTGCATAATGTTAACTGCATACATTTTTAATTTTCTTGAAGACATAGTTCAGTCATGTTTATTTAAACACTAAATAACTCATAAATTTGAAGAAAAATTCAAGCTTTTCAGAGAAAAACCATCAAACTAAGAAGTTTTTAGTTAAGTATCTGCTAATCAATATTTAAACCTCTAAACCCTTTGCCAAATGATTAGCCTAGATTCATTCAAATACCTCCTAAAATAAAAATATGCCATCTACATCTGCCAAGTAGAAAGCAAAGAAACGAAAGAAGGAAAACACATCCTTAACAGAGCCACTGATACGTGCCTGAAATTTTAAACAGCCATGTTCACTATTAACTACATTCTTAGTTAAATACTTGCAAATCCTCTTTTTTTGTACCAAGAGGGGTTGCAAGCATAAGCTCTGCTGGGTAGTGATTATAGCCTACTTCTGCAGTGAAGTTCTGGGTCCCTCTGCAGAGAATTGAACACACGGAGTTCACTGCATGACAGGAACCTTACATCATTGTTTATTTCCAAATGTCTAATGTGTTTGAATTGCCTACAAGATTCTGAATACAATTTCATTTATCATCTTATACATCACTGCAAAATGGACAAATACCTTGTGGCAGCACTGCTGTCTGAGGACTGTGCTGATGGAGAGCCCACCCTGAGGCAGCCGGGACCCGGGTCTAAGCTTGTAGATTTTGTTATTTGAGGAGCACTTCTTTTTGATTTCAAGTCACAGCTCAAAAAGCTCTTTGCGTAGGAAGCTAAATTTGGAACGCTGACAACACGACTGGGCACCTCAACCGTTTTCTTCTGCTGCTTTTTATTGTAACAGAAAACTTCATTACACAGATATTTTTTTTAACACTTTATACTATAAAAACCTCAACAATACCTTGTTCCCAGATATCTTGTGAGGAGCACCCAAAAATGAAGATTCCCATCTTTTGCTATAGGCATTTAAAATACATTGTCAGGGTATGCTGTGAGGTTCCATGGATTAGGCAGTCCAATTAAAACAACTTGTTTATTTGACCTTGAGGTTTTAGATACATCAAAGCCAGTAACTTTGCAGAGCTCAGTTAGGTGCTTTCCACCAACCTGACCTCCCTTCTTTCCATGACTATTTGTAGACAGTATCATACACAGGGGCTGGAATGATAAGGGCAAATCCTGCACAGCCCAAACACAATTCATAATTTTCCTTGATGCATGCAATACCCCAATTAGCAACTCCCAAATCTGCAAGCAGCTCCCAAATCTGCAAGTGATGGTTGTGCTTATCCCAGTGGAAGACTGGCATCTTTGGAGTTCTAGTGTTTTATATTTGCTTAAACACCTGTATCTATGTGCGTATATACTTCTACTGAACTTATGTTATACTCAGCACGTGAGTGTAGGTTGTGTTACTGGAAAGAATTCTACCAAATAACATTACCATAAAAAATCAATAGGACCTTTATTGTCTTGATCATCTGTATGATTCAAATAGCAATAAAACATGACAATTTGTGATTTTAATTGCATTGCCCATCTTACCTTCATGGAAGGAGTCAAGCATCCTGTATTAGGGTTAAAAGAAAATGATCGATTCCTGTAAGATTCAGTGTTGGCTATAAGTGAATGCTGAAATTTTCTTCCTTCCTAAAGGGAAAGAAAGTTATGTGTATGGAAACATCTATTTGTGGAAGTTGAAATGGAAACATATATTTGTCAAAATATTCTAGAACAGAAAGTATCAGTCTGAAGCAACGTGTGAAACACTGCATAGAGCCTTCCAACAGATTCCAAACTATGTATGTACATATAAAATGAAATCTTACTGCCAGCTGGTTGATAATCTCTTCTCTCTCACTTAATTTGTCTTGCAGACAGCTTATAAGGTGTGTATCTTCTGATCTGGACTCCCACTTTCTTGACTGTTCTTCTAATTCTTTAAGTCTGTACCAAGGAAAATGCAGACCGGAAAAAACTTCCTCAGACCAGGTTCAAGAGATACCCGGGCTGTACTCTGCCCTAAATTCCACGCCTAAAATACAGGGACATAGTCAGGTGTTTCTGATAAAATAGCATATTTTAAAAATAGGCATCTGTACATGGATTACATAAGTATAGAATGTTGTGGATTTCCAAAATAAACTGCCACCAGGGTTAACCCACAACACCTGTCCAGTATAAAATCCAGCCCCTGGTGTAAAATACTAACAAGCTTGCACATCACATTGCTAGTCTAGTTTCCTAGAGAAAAAAATCTGTGTAGCAGTATCTATGCATGTCTGTATTAACCTATTTGTTCTCTTTTCTGACCCAATAACTTTATAATCCACAGGCTGTTTCCAACTATATTTGATAGAGGCCTCAGAAATACTCAATTCCTGTAACTTTCATGAAAAGAGAGGCTTGGATATACATGCTGCTTTAGTGAACCCTCTAAGTCAAAACCTGTAGTGTGAGTTCAGCTCTTTAAATGCCTTAATCAGGGGAAAAGATTCAAATGAGAACTTACACCTTCTTAGAGATGGTGTGGGAACATACATTTGACTGACTCATGAGAAAACAAGTCAGTATTTCATCAGCCAAATTAATGAATTTTGCTGCTTGAGAAACTGAGTGTTATGAAGTTCAGCTGCCATACTGAGAAATGTATTACAGAATACAAACCACCATTTTGTGGGGCTTTTTTGGTGAGGGTAAACATTTTTGAGAGGACCCCCCCCCCGCCCCCCATCTTATACACTTAATTTAGTGTATCATCTCAGAGTTTAGATAAAAGATAAATCTTAACATCTCAATGGTCTGAGACCTGCTTACATGCAAGTAGGTCTCTCTTCTGGACCTATGCTGCACAGCTGGGATAAGAGGAAAAGGACAAGGGATTATTTCTGAGTGGCCTCTCCTGTACAGTCTGAAGCACCACAGAACTACTTAACTCCACAGGGGGTTGCAAAGTGCATTTATTTACATGAGTTAGTGGGGGCTGTCCTGGGAAATTTGCAAGGGAATGAGGATGAGCAAGAGCTTAACCTCCAAGATGCTGCTCTGCTGAACAAAATTAAGTACAAGATCATGGATCAAAGCCTCTGGTATCATCTGTGACAAAGATTATTTTACACTTCATAAAATTGCAAGATGCTAAGTGCAGGTTTTAGTTTAGCATTGTAAAACCATATGTGTAGTGCTTTACATTAAAAAATATTCAGTTTGTTACAATATATCTGGGTCTTTTTGTGTTTGTAAAGGAAATACCTATACACTTATAGTTCAGTGCTTGTAATATTCTACCTGTGAGTAATTAAATATTATACATACTAAGAATAATAATTTCAAACAGAACTCATTGCCAGTATGAGCCAGAGTTTCTTTAAATGACTTACTCAGTTTCTAAGGAGAAAATCTTTGCTTGGAGATGTGCCCGAGTGCCGCTGAAATCAGATAGTATGTTTTCGATTTCCTTCCAGTGATCTTGTTTCAGTATGTCCAGTTCTTTTTTATGCTTGATATTGAGGTCTTCTACCAGTAGCCTTTCATTGGTATTAAAACATGTCTGAATTGTCATGTTTCAATACTAGTTTATTATCATTGATCAAAGCATGCAGTTTTGAGGTCTTTTATTGACTACAAAGGTAGTTAACTGGGCACAGCTCTGGGCTTCTGCTTACTGATTTGACTGACACTTCAGTTGCAATCTGAAGCAGAACCATACTAACACTGAGGAAGAGGAAAATTATTTGGAGACCTTCAGCCTTCAGGAAACAGAGGGTCTGTTTTATATAATGATGCTATTGATATTCTGTCTATGGTTAGTTTGTACATTAATCTTAATGGTCAAACATGACAATAAAGTACCATAGAAACTCACTTGTATTAAGCAAAATTATTTTGAAATCTCTGGGATTTTAACATGAGGCTCTGATGCTGTATTTCCTCACATCATGGCACCAGAAACATTTAATACTGCCTACCACCATCCTAAAAATAATTTTTTTAAAAAAGTGAAGGTAAGAAATGTTATAACAATGCCTTTAACTACATTTGTCTTTAATAGACAATATATTTTGAAAGATACTGCTATTTGATTAACACCATCGATTGAAAACTAAAAAATGCCTAACATTTTTTCAAGCCTAGCCATAACATTGCTTTCTGATACCAACCCTAAAACCGATAGATTTCTACTGAAGAATCATTGTTAGCTTGTTGCCTTTTGTTTGCTAACATTTTGTTAAACCTTGGAGAAACTTTTACATTAACTCAATGCAAAGCCCATGTTCTGTTGTTTACTGATTAAACAACAAACAGAAACGTCAAACTCAGGAGATTAACAACTGTAATTTTCACAAAAGATATTGTTTACTTTTTTTTTCTTTTTAGTGTATTTCTAAGCCCCTTTCACTTGTTTCTGAAATGCTTTAGGAAAGGCCAAAAGGCCCATGAAAGGTTTCAGCCCTTGAAATTAGAGCACAGCCATGGGAGTGATTGATTTGGCATGTGGTACAAAATAAGCAGCAGAAAAATAAGAGTGAAAATGGGAGCAGAATCCCTGAAATGGTTCTTCAGGGGTAGAATAAAAGCTTTCCTTCAGAATAGCCATTTTGGGACTTCTCCTCTCTTTGCATAAAAAAAAAACTTTGTCTGCCCTCATCCTAGTCCTTACAAAAGGTTTCTGTGCTGGAGATGGAATTCACACAATTCACAAGAATGGAAAGGAGAATAATTACTTCAAGAAGATTACTGGTTTCACTTACTTGGCAACAGTAGGAATAGTAATTTTAAGTAATTGGTTATAAAAATTTGGCACATGCAAATAACAAGCCACTATCAGCTTTCAAATCAGAAACAACTATATAGCATAAGACAAGGTCACTGTTGTTAAAGTAACAGTAAAAAAGCTGTTATTTATATGCACTCACCAATTTAACTATTCCTCTACCCAAATTATTGGTCCTGCAAAAGCAAAATGAGCTGCAAGTTAACGTTCCAGATCTTCCATGGGTTAATTTCAGAGCAGCCTGTATCAGGTGTCTAGGACCATTTGAGCTCTTTGGTTCTACCTTCTGTTATTTGAAGGATTCCTCCTCACATAATTTCCATTAATGCTTCCTTCTCAAATGCTTACTGTAGTAGAGCTACACCATCTATCCCCTGTAGAGATTATCCTCCAGCCCAGCAGCTTTAGCATTTGAGGCCTTTTAGACCTCATCACTGACGTGAATAATTCTCTTCATGAACAGAGGCTCTAAATTCCTTCAAGGTAGCTGCAGGGCACTGATGAAACTCTCTGGTTTGCAATTCTTTCTGTTGATCTTGCTTCAAAAGCTTGAAATGGAAGTCACTTTCAAGTAACTCTCCAAAGAGTGCAAAGGAAAAAAAAAAAAGTTTCTTTTTCGTTCTTTAAATACCTACTGACTGGTAGACAGAAACGGAATTACTCTGGCCACTCTGACAGTCTGCTGAGAGACTCTGTATCCTTTGAGTGCTTTTCTCTAGACTATATAGGACATGATTTTAAAGATTCCTTTAAGGGTATACTCTTCAGAAATCCTTTTATATATACATCTTGAGTAGTTAGGGGCATACATTCTACACCATTGCAGAAATGAATTGAAAGTTACCCATGCACCAGATCCCTCAATCTCTCTGCAAAGAGAATGTGTCAAGTATGATCACCCAGAAACTTCAAAGGATTCAACAGCCATACAAATGCACTGGACAGTGAACCCCAGTCTTGTCTCCCATGTAAAAGGTAAGTCCTGTACTTTTTCTGTACACAGATGGGAAGACTGCTATTACTGCAGTGCAACACGTGCTTCGAGCCTGTGGCTACTCCAAGAGGATATGGTCCATCTTCTGCAAAGACAGCCAAGACTACTAGTCAGCTTGCCCTCCTGTGCCCTGACAGCATATTACAGCTCCAGGCTTCCATCAGCCCAGAGGCACTGTCAGTGTCTGCTATCACTGCCCTTACTCCCCCAGTGCAAAGCTGGCTGTTACAGCGAAAGCAGAGTCTCACAGAGAACATAAGGCATTCTCAAGTGTCTCCTTTAGAATTAACAACCCTTTGGTTTCAGCTACAGAGAGTACCAAAAAAACTGGTATTTATTCTCAGAGACTTCTACTTTTTTTTTTAATAGCTCTTGGGTGAATCTGGGATTTGTTTTCTTCTTCCAGTGCCTTTCAAAGGCTGACGTTACGCAGATTTTCTCAGGTCACTCCTGTGGGGCTACACTGGACATAGTTCTCTGTGACATAATGAACAGTTAGTTCAAATGCTTTTATTATGGCTGGAGAGAAATGTGAAATGAACTACTGCTTTTGCAAAACTCCTAACCTCTAAAATTAGTACTTTAGAGATTCTGACACTCCTCACATTTAGAACACTTCTGATGCTGGCATCATTGTTGACTCTCTAGATAGCACTATGAAGTGTGAATTTAAGGCAAACCTTCTGTGCTGTTTCTCCCTATCCTGAAGCTGTGCAGCTTCTTGCTTCTGCGACTCCAACTCAGCACTGAGTAGCTCCATTGTGTCCTTCAAAAGTAAATTCTCTTTCTTGAGTTCGGAAATTTCACTCTGACATTTTTCCAGTTCATCATGAAGAGATCTGATCTGGCTCTGGCTACTTCCTTCCTAAGAAAAAGGCCAAATTTAGTTATTCACAGCCTCTAACTATTTAACGCGAAGAGCTCACTGGAATTGTGTGTATGGAATTTTTGTGAACTGATTTTTCAATTATATGTGCAATTCTATGTGAAAGACAAAATCTATGATCAAAACTTCCTGAACATATTTTATAGTCCCCATAAAATTTATTTTATTGTAACATTCATTTATTGTGTTGTAGATTCTGATCTTTAAATGGAAAAAAAGCCTGGCCATAGGGAAAAGATGGTAAACAATACTAACATTTTAAAATGTGACCTAAGGGAAGGAAACCCATTTCATTTCTGTAGGAGATTCTGTACACTTCTATTATCTCTGGAGAGAGAAATTTCATACTATTGCTTTCGCCAAACACAACATGGCAATGAAGTAGGAATTGGATTCTTGCCTGTTGTTTCTTCAGTGTCCTCACACTCCTCAGCTCCATTTGGAGTTCTTCTATTTGTTTCTTGAGATTAGTGCACAATGTCTGTTGCTCAGACAGTTCCATCCTTACAGATCCTAGTAACAATCAGACAGACAATTGTTAAAGCAGTCAGAGGCCAGCTGGATGGGGAAGGTAGATATAGACAATGTAGATGAAAACACTAATACCTTACATTTTGCTTTGTTCTTCAACTCCTTTGACATTAAGTATAATGGCCTCCTATTACTCAACAAGTAACTCAGTTGAGCAATAGTAAGAAGATATGGAGCTACTACAGCAATGATTCAATATTGGAATCAGAGAGGTAATACTGTGGCAGTTGTTTTGCAGACTAAATCACTATAATTGCTTCTTCTAAACTTGAACTTTATTGGAGCACCCCTGAGAATCCCTGTTAAGTCCACTGGTGTTTTATAGAGGGCCATAAGGCAGACTGAGGAGAGCTCTATTGTCTCCCTATGATTTTTCTGGAAGTTGTTCTTCAGAATTTATCTATTGGACATATAAACTTTAGAGCGCAACAAATCTTTCTAGCAAATTTGAATTACTGAAAAAAAAAACCAAGAAGAGAATCCAGTTTGTACTTAAGGTACTTTCAGATTATTCTTTCTTTAATTAGAAAACCTTTTATAGATGAGATTTAATAACCTGAGTTCAAACCAGAGATACTACAGGTCCTCCTAATGCAGTGTTCTGTTTAGTTCTGAAGAGTTTATGAAAACCTTCTAAACTGACTAAACAATACGTATGGAGCAACTGATCTCCACTGCTGAACTCAACAGAACAGACTTGAACCACATATAATAATTCTTCACATCACAGAAAAAGCAGGAGTCATTTACACTAACTACAATATTCTAATTTAATATACCTGATAATGCATACTTGAATGTTGTACACCAGGCTACTCTCCTAGCGACATTCTGCAGCTAACAGTTGAGAGCTAGGTTAACAAAGAATATTAAGTCTGTATTCCTAAAATTGCAGGGTATGGAAAAGGAGATTCACAAAGAAGATCTGAGTTCCCAGAAGATGGGAAAGAAAACGAATGAGAGAAAAGTCAGTGCTTCTCAGCATATAATCAATGACATGCAACATTATACCTAGCAACAGGGTTTGCTGCTTCTGTATCTGCTCGAGTTCATCATGTAATTCTTTCTTTGCTTTCTCTTCCAAGGTTTGTATTTCCAGCCTATGAGACTGATGTTGGATCTTGAAAGTCTCATTAAATTCCTTTTTCAAACGTTCTTCTGCTTCCTGTAAGCAAAAGCCCCACCCCCCCGAAAACAAAGTAGTTGGAGCCTATTTATCACCTTGTTGTTTTACTTGTAATGCCAGGATGAATCTGGTCTTTCACTGTAGAACTTTTATTTTCATCACCACTTTACATGATACTTCATCAACACAAGAATAAAAAATCAGTTAAATTTAGTTAAAAAATATAAATTAATAGGGACAAGAGAAATTGTCAAGATATCTATTAGATTTGTTGTACATTATGAAATAGTAACACTGACATCTTTGATCTATTTGGCATTAGAAAGATGTTTTATTATTCAACATACAAAGTCCCCCAGATTTGACCTGTATGTCATTACTTATCATAGTGCGTCAGACAAAGGTTTCTATCTTTCCTTGTATTGTTCTTGGCTAAAACTTCCACTGTCATTAGAAGTCCTGCTGATACACTGTGAACAATGGAGTAGTCGCTCTGTAGTGGCTCTGAGAGCAAACTCTTATCCTCAGTTTCATTTTTACCAACTTACTGCCTTCAGCTTGGTTTTGTTAAAGCTGGGATTTTATTCTGAATATATAAACAAGATATTAAATTCTACTTAGGGTGGTTTTAATACATATAAGTAGGTTTTCCCTAAGGTGTGCAATATCAATGGGGACATCTGAACTCCATGTCACAATCACATCTGCATTTTTTAAGCTGATTTTTTTTTTCTCAAACAGCAACATTCTTTGGAACCTCAGTTACTGCATTAACATTTTGTCACTGAAATAAACCTACCTGAACCTTTAAAAGTTTGGTTATCCACTTACAGAACTGATTTCTTGAAGGTATCTAAGGCAATACAAATCATTATACATGTCTATTATATTTCTTTTCAAGTATTTATGTATAAATTAATAATGGATGAAAAAGAATAAAACTGAGTCCTGTTACTAATACACTTAGGAATTCCCTTGTATTTCTGAAGCAAGAGCACAGCTAGAGGAGCTTGTATTCATCGCAGCCTAACTATAGAGGGTAGGATATATTATTTTACGAAACTATTTCATTCACACTATGGTCTAAGATCAAATATTAAATTTAAAAAAAAAACAAACTAAAGATGATGAGTTTTCAAAATCCCAGAATAATTCATTATGTGCAACAATAGCAATCCATCATTAAGATAACTGGAGATAACCGAGTTTTGATAATCAGCTCTAGCTAATACGGTTTATCCCACAAATACAATTTTTTACAGTAGTATGTTGTAAACTGACCTTGAGTTCCTGATCTTTGCTTTTCTCCAACATTTTTAAGACTTTTTGATGTGATGCCTCCAGCTGCAGTTTAACATTCTGGTTTTCTTTAATGGTGTTTTGAAGATCTTGCAGAAGCTTCTCTTTTTCTTTGTTGGACTGCAGATTATGTTTCTCCAGTGACTCCTTGAAATTATTTGCTTGTTGATCTAATATTTGCTTCAGCTGAGCCACCTTCCAGAAAAGTAAGTCAGCAGGATAGGATTAATGGCTGCATTCACAATGGAGAGGACTGACGTAAATTTGAGTACATTTTATGAACTGGTATTGCTCTATGAATAACAGCAAGATGCTTGTTTCATGCAAGGAGCCCTTTTTGCAGTGAAGAATGACATCCCTTTTGCGTATACTGTCTGTTGCCCATCAAGTACTTTTCTGAAATTATTTCTTTTCAAATCGTCTCCATCTCATACGTACAATCCATAGTTAACTTGCACAATAATGATGGCACAAACCAGGAGGCAGGCCTAAGGCTGTGGTTATTGTCATGCTGGAAATTTAACACTGCAGAGTCCATTTATATAAAGCAGTGGATTAGAACCAATGGAAAAAAGAATTCTGCACATCACGCTTCAAATTTGTTTTATTTTCTCCCCTCTCTTAGCTTAATTACTAAATACAGTAGACATGTCAATAATGGCTGATAAAAAAAGTAACAAAAAATACCCCTTTATAAGAATAACTTGGCGGGGAAGGAAGGAGTTTGTTCTTTTTCCCATTTGGCAGGTTTTCTGAGCTTTCAGCAAAAATTTGTATTTGCCCTTCTTAAATTTGCCATTCCTAACTTCATAGCTGTGAAATTCTGAAAAACTGCCTTCTGCATAGAGGGAGCATGCATAATTAGGAAGGCCAATTAGTATTTTTGCTGCTGTATCTGACTTCCAAGTCTGCTCTTTTGCTCTGCCATACCTCCTGCAAAACCTTTGTCTCTTGCCTTTTCTTTTTGGAAGCATGTGAAAGAAGATGGTCTGTTTTCCAATTTTTATATACTTGTACTTTCCAGTCTTAGACAAACAGAATTCAAACTATGAAAGGAAGAAATTGGCTTCCTTAGAATTTCATGTGTCTTTAAATTATTCAAATGACATTACACACAGCTGCAAATTGGATATAGTACAGATTATAACCTGTGACCTCATCCTGTTCTTTCCTCTACATTAATACATGTTCTTTTTCTCTTCTTCAGTGTGGCGTTCATTTTTTTTTTCCATGCATACTGCAGACAGTTTGTTTAGTTGAGGAAGCACTGAAGCTTTAGCTAGGTAAATAGTTGCTTGTAACTTCAGCTGCACACTTGTGGTCCTTTCTGATGCAGCACCACAAAAACTGGATGAAGATGTACTAAGTGGGCTAAGGTGTCTGTATCCTTCCCCATTTCATTCTCATAGCACTTTCTGGCATATTTTGTGTTACATAAGAGAATAGGAGACATGCTGTGCAAAGCCCTTACTTCTCATTAACTTCATGGCCACAGTCAGCACTGCACTGTCCAAAGGGAGATACTAATGAGCTATGCCAGATCTCTCTAAATTACAGGAATCCTTTCTGATGATGGCTAAATGTATTCCTGCTAGCTCAATGGCTCTGTTCTTTCTCACACTGGTTGAGCACGCTGGTTTCTCTCCTCCAAAGGATGCGTTCTCTCCTTTCCCTCTCCTGAGGCCCTTCTCCATTCCCAGATGGATCACAGCCCTTATTCATGTACTCCTTAAGCCTCTATTATTCTCATAGGTTTCCAGCACAGAACTGTGCTCTGAAGGCTCAAAATGCTGCAAACCACAGAGCTTCTATCAGTTCCCAGGGTTTCAAATCCTTTTGGAGAAAGGACATTCTGTACTCCCACTTTATGACCACAACCTCCAACTACATTGTACCTTGACTTGTCTTCACTTCTAGTCCCAATTTCTGCTTTTACCATTTCCTGGCACCTGCTCCCTTCTCTCTAGAACTTATACAAGTCTTTATGTCCCAGAAATGAATCCTGGTGTTAAAGAAGAAAAATGAATGTGAACCTTTTTTTTTTTGGAGACACCCACAGCTTAGAAAGAATTATTTCTACTTGATTGATTTGTCCTATTTTAATTGTTTTTTCTACAGAGCAACTAAATAAGGGCCTGAAAACATTGTAAAAACTTGCTCTATTTGGTCTGTTGGTAGTTTATAATTTTGAGTAAAAAGTTTGCACTCACAGAGTATCAGATGAAGATGATTTATTTCTATGTAAGCACAATTCATATGAAACATGAATGTTCATGGACTCCATGTGCTGCGGAGATAATTCAAAACCTGTTGAACACACACATCTCATGAGAACGTCATAACTTCCTTTACTAAATCTGGTTTCTGTTCCTCTGTAAGCAGCTACAAGAAAGAATTACTGTTCCATTTTTGAGTATGTTTACAGCTGCAGAACTGCTGTTCCTATACACAAGTCAGTATACTGTGTTCCTTCCATTTAAATAGAGTTTGTCCTTCACTTCAAATCCACAAGTCAGGTTCCTTTTCTCCAATTAATTGGTGGTGGTCATTACTATCATCACTGATCTCGTACTTCAGTTTCCTTCTGAACCCCTTCCATTGGCTTGCTCAGAGAGGGTCATACTACTATTATAATTAATGTGGGTTTCCTTTACCAGCTGGGGTAGATGTTTAGTTTATTGCATCAGTTTATTACTGATGTTTCACATGTTCTGAGATCTACAACAATATCTGTAATTTAGACATGACAGAAGTCTGCAAGCAAAGATGAACCTTGCTAAAAAGCTCTTTAGCAAAGCTACCAGCTTGGGCAGTCGACTTTCTCCTATTTGGTGGCCAAACCAAGTAATCAATAAAATTTCTAGTCAAATCAATCCAAAGAAAACATTTTTGAATGTACACGTCAAAATGAAAAATTAAAATATTTCCTCCAGACTGAATTCAATGTATTTAAAACTTAAATTATTTCATCATTTGCAAGGAGACAAATGGCTTTATTCACAGAACACAGGGGAAGAAGAGATGTCAGCGGTGGTTCTGCTTTGTGTGTGTGTGAGAGAGAGAAAGGAAGCATGGAGGCACAGAAAAACCAGGAAAGCAAGAGAGTACGTGTGTGTGTATATGAACGTAGCTAGGACATGCACCCAAGTGATGAAGGCCTAGGTTGTCCAATGAGAACTTAATATACAAGTGAAGAAGCGGCAACAGGTGACACACTGTAGCTCACCCTGTTTTATCCTATAACCCCATGACAAGGGAACTCTTTAAATGGTGATAAAGCTGACAGAAGAAAAAACAACACAACCAAGCCTAGGTCTCCCACACATCATGGAATGCTAGGTTGGTGGATAAGAAAACAAACATTCTTTCACCCAGTGCTTTGTGAATCAAGTGTTTTATTTTGTTCTCTTTTAAGTGCCAGAAAATGACAGATTAGTTTTACCACTTCTTAAACAATTTCAAACCAACATGGTACATTTGAATTTCACTGAAGCTATCTAAACAAATTGATTTGAGTTAGCAAATTTGAAAGAGCACCTAGCTGCCCCAAACTGTGAGTTTAAGTTACCTAATCATCCAGTCGTTTCTTGGCTTCTTCCTTTGTGTCATCCAACTAAACACAAAAAAACCTATCTGTCTGAACAAACTAGTGAAAAATAACTGCTAAATGTTATTCTTAATGAAAAACATTAATTGTCTTTAATGTGTCTGTGTGATGGGATCTGTGTGATGGGATCTATCTGTAGCCTGGATACACTCCAAGAACAGGCAGATGCCAGAACCACTTGCCAACCATACCTTTGTTTCCAGAGCTGCTGCAATTTTTATTTTAATTTTTTTTTAAATAAGTGGTAAATCATAAGATTTAACTAAATGGGCACTTTGGCTTCTGGTTATAGATAAAACATTTACTTTGTCTTAATGCCTATTGAACTCACCAATGTTTTCCTATATAAAGAAACGAAACACTGAAGCTGTTAGGTACTGCAGTTCCTTATAAAACTAAGCTTTGATGTGAAACACTTAATGCTGTACAGTTCCCTGTATCAGCTGATGTAATATGCATTAGCACTACTACACTCAAGCATGCATTTTTTTTCTGGGTTTCCTGAAAGTAAGCCAGTGAGTAAAAAAAGATGTGCCAGAAGAGTAGGCTGTATATTTTCTAATAGAAAAATTGGAAACAGGAAAAATGTCACCTGCAAATGTTGCTTTTGCAAATTAAATATTCATTTAGGTGGGGAAGATGAAAAGAGACTTCAGCTGTGGTCACAACATTTTAACCTTTCAGACTCTCTTCATAGACAATTATTGGTTCAAAGCACTACTAGCATGAAATATAAGATCATACTAACTAGAAATAGGCTAAGCAGTAAATTGGTAGCAGCAGAGAACAATGTAGTAAGAAATCAGATGGAAAAGTATTTCTGAAAACATTATTTTTTCAGTGATTTAGGGAAAAAGACCTACACAAATATATCAGGGATATAAATATACTCTTTCTCATGAATCCTGCTACTTCTAAGATATTAAAGGTTATGAAACAAACATTTCTATCCCATCAGGTTTCCTCCTCCTGTTTTTCAGTTAAAAGGGCTTTCAAATCACCAGTGCAAATCCTTCCCTGGAATATTTGCAGTGCCCAGGCATTTTTATTGTGTTTCATTACTTCAAAACAGATAGCCAGATCCTCAATTTGTAAAACCGGTGAAGCAACATTTAAGCCAATGAAACTATGCCAACTCACATCAGTCCAGAATCTATTTGGCTCCTTCTACTATTAACAGACCAGCCACATTGTTTTATAATGTCTCCCTGCTGCAAAAAAAAACCTCTTGAGAAAACTATACCTCTAATACCATTAGTCATTCACTTTTATCCACCAGAATGGCATAAAGTGGTCTTAAAGGTGCAACTAATACCTATCCACAGTATAAACTCTAGGCAACAGTATTTTTCTAGGCTCTGCTGAATTATTTTCAAATTTCAGGGTTATGTTTGCATTTGCCCTTTCTTAGGATAGCTGATTTTGTCTCCCACTGTCTTCCAAGTAAAGAAAAAAAATGAGTAACTATTTCTAAAAGATAAGTTTTGAAATATTTCAAAAATCTTTGAAGTTTCATTCTTTTCTAACCATAATTACTGTCCTTCTCCTGGGAAGGATGGCTTGATTCTTTTGCAGAAGTACCTCTCAGACTTTGAGAGCCCATGGACAAAAATACTGGGCAAGTATAAGGCCGTGCATGCCATCACAGTTGGCTCCCCCGTTTGACTTCTGCTTTGATGACTTTAATTCACTGTGCTTGCAAGCACTATGAAAACTTTAAGTCTATCTTATGTCTGCTCTCCCCTTCTTTTATTATTGTATGTAAGAAATGTGAAATCTCAAAGGCAAGATCTAAAGTTGGAATCAGATACTTCTGTATCTTTTAAGTAGAAAGATCTGAGTTTCTCAACACATTGCCAGGGGATGAATTTATATAAGACTTAAAACTGCCTTTTGATGTATTACAGAAGAGTCACCACAATTGAGAATTTGTTCAGAGAGTTAAAATACGGCACCCAAATGCTACAGGATTTTACTGATACTAGGATGCTATTACATCAAAACGGTAACATGGTACAAGAACTAACAATAAAATAATGAGATTATATTTTACTGTTGTGTTTAGGCTTATTTCACAGTTACTTCAGTTAAGTTCACAGTTAACTGCCTTCCTAAATTTATGGCAATTCCTGACTAGAAGGACAGGTGTGAACACACTAGGCACATCTCTACTGCTGCTATTTGGTGGTGCCTACAAGATCTCTGTCAAGGCTTTGGGCATTGCTGTGCTAGCATTGTGCAAAGATATATCACCTCAAGGTGATGCCTGCGCTTCCATTTTATGTACCTTCTAATTCCAGAATAGCCCTTTTAACACATGTTGAAGAGATCCTGTAGTGCAAAAGCAAGTAACTGGACAACTTCTAATGAATTAGCATTTGACTCAGACAGAATCTCACATCCTTCCTTCCAAAGGAGCAAACAGGTGTGAATCTGATTTCTTTATCCAGAAAAATCTTAGTAATACAGAAATGCCACTACTTTGAAGTGCATCCCCAGAGAGATGAAATTATGATGATTCTGTCTACTCTCCATAGTGTTCTAGCTATGTCAGCCCAACCAAAAATGTGCCTTATGCAACCAAGGAAGCTATTTTTAGATCTGAAATTGTATCCAGGTTAGAACTGGATTAGTAACAGCACATTGCCTAACCTTTCAGGCGGAAGCTCTGGACTGAGCCATTGCAAAGGTTCCCAGATGGGAATTATGCCCTCAGTGAAACATAATGTTGTATAGTCAATGGTGGTTTCTTGGCTGTGAATATTCACATCTTTATAGAAGTATTGTAAGTTGAAATTACTTCCCTGAGTACTGCCAAGTAATTGGTTCAGAAAGTAACTTATAGAGTACCAAGAAAAATGCAAAATTTCTCTTCAGAGGGAGCATCTCCTCCCTTTTAGGAGCATTGTTAGATTCGAAGATATTTTTCTGTCCTGAATGTGTGACTTCAAGAAAAGTAATTTGATGACTCACTGCCTCACTTTTTCCATCTGCAAAACCTGAACAATAATTGCTTCATGACATAAGACTTTTGAGACCTTTCATTGGAATACACCACCTGCATGCATATACACAATACTATGAGATCAGACAGTGTGCCACTACTCCTTCCTTCCATCTCTTTCCCTCACACCTCAAACTTTCAGGCATTACCTAGGGATGCCAGAATATCATGGTAAATTTTCAGCTTTGAATGGACTAAGTTATTGTTGTAGAAATATATACATCTATGGGAATTTGGAAAAGAATAAAGACAACAGATTTCTAAGAACCCATGTTTTGCATTAGGTGCAAAGAAGTCACTCTGGATAGGTCCAAGTTGGATTGACCTGAAATTCTCTCAAAGAAGAACCTGCAGAAACTGTGGCATGCAGAAATGTGTAATGAAAACTAAAAACAGGATTTAGCTAGAACTTTAAGAACTACACTTAAATTCTGTATTTCTAAGACTAGGAAATGGATAGAATGTCAGAATCCAATTGTGATACCAGAATGGAGCAATCTGTTTTACAGGAGAAATGAAAGGGAAAAGGCCATGCTGCACTCAAAACTAGTATACAGCTAGTACAGCATGAATGGGAGAAAAACAAGGTGTTACATAGTGAATGACCACAACACATGCCCTGATTGCTGGAACACGTTGCACCAAGCAGGAGTAATGGCATGTGGGAAAGAGGAAGCGGGTAGGAGAGGGGGGGCCAACATCTTGCTTAGTCCCCTGATGAGCTTATCTGTCCTTTTTCTGTCACCAAACACTCAAAAAGAGCTTATTATGGCCACTCAGAGTCTACAAATGCCATCTGAGAAAGATCTAGGTCTTCAAATTCTGTGGAGTTGTTCCCATGCAAACTCCCACTGAACTTCCTGGAGGTGAAATTGGTTAAAATCAGTGAAGATATAAAGCAATGGAAATCATAGACGGCCACTTAGAACAACAGTGGCTATCTGTAATTCAGTAGTTCCACAGTGTGAGCTACTTAATTCCTATTGTTCGTTACTTTTTCTTGAACTAGACTGAAGAAATTTTGTATATTTGGGAACATCCTCATTTTGCTTAATAAAATCTTGGAGCCTCAAAACATGGATTGGCAGGAAGAAAAACCAAAGAAATGGGTGAAAAATTATCATGGTGAAAACATGTCCATTCACCCATAATCTCCCAGAATGAACAATCACAAATAATTTCATTGTTCTTCTGAAAAAGGTACCAAATGCAATGATATACTTGGGGTAGAAAAATAAATGCAGCACTGAGCATCATCAGAACTTTTCACTAGGGCACCGATTTCAGTTCTGTTAAAGCAGTTGTTTTATAGCTTATCCATGAGATAAAAGTATCAAAATGTTTGCAGGCAAAAACTTTACGTGATCACACTGAAGAAAAGGAAATAACTTGTACATAACATTTTAAAGCAGATAGCATTTGCCAAGAAGAACCAAACAACACAAAGGGGAACACCTGAGAGGGAGAAAACGTGTATTCACAGTTGTCAGAAATTTTAAAGGTGAATTGTTTACTTGAGTAAATAATTGCCTTGTAGGAGTTCTGCTTTTGTTTTGGCAGAAAATTATTTATCCAACCTGTTATGGCTTTTCAAATAGTGACACTTTCCTGTATAATATTTTGGTAGATGTCCTAATCCAGAAAATTTGCACCACTTGGCTTGCAACTGTTACATTGCAACTGTATACATTACAGCTGTTATAGGTAGATAATCTAATACTAACACATCTCAGGTATTTATTTCCAGATTAATCCATGTCTGCAGATTTTCATTATGACTTAGGTGTAACCAGAGTGGGGAACAGTACATAAACTATGACATCCTCAGAGCTACTTTGGGGTCACAATGCTTTCTCTATTTCATTCTTGATCTTGAGAACACAGAGGGAGGCATACCTAACTACTAATATATACTCAATTACTGCACATTCCAACCTGCTTCAGTTACCACCCTTCCCATCAAGCAGGCAGAACAGAAACAATGATCTATTTGACCTTTTTTCCATTCAATTCTCTTGCTCAAGAGACCAACCAAGCAGGCCCTTTTACATGTCTACATACACAAAAAACTAAATCAGCAAGTCAACAAGAGCTGTGAGGAAGATTCTAATCTCCCTTAGCTCTGTATACAGACTAACAGTCAGAGTCACCATCCAACCCTGATGTACCCAAACTCCTCATCAAAAAGCCTTAGTATATCTCCAAAGAGTGATATATGAAATTTATCAAAATAAATAGGCTTGTCAAAATCTTCATAGATGTTCAGAAGCAGTAATTTCTGTTATTTCTATCTAAAGTCCTTGCATATTTTCCTGAATGACAGTCACAGCAAATACAATTAAAATCTAATCAAGAATCTCCCAGGGAGAGGAAAAATGAAGAGCCCTTTCCCTACTGGGTTACATTTATGCCCAGTTTACCTCAAGTGAAGAGTTTTGAAGTTTCCCATTTAGGACTTCTTTCTCTTTCTCTAGTTGCTTTTGTTCACACTCAGATTTTCTTTTAAATTCCTCTAGCTGTGTCTGGAGCTCCTAAAGTAAAAAAAAAAAAAAGAAAAAAGAAAAAAAAGAGCATGCAATAGCTGGGACAAAACATGCAGCATGAAAAAGAAAGAACATTTCTTCTCCATTACCCTAGATAATAGAGCAGTTTACACAGTAATACATGTACTGCCTTTTAACATCACTCATGTATTATTCAATCAAAGATGTATTAAGAGTTTGGTGTGGTTCTTTCTAATACTAGTGTTAGACAATACAGCTCACATAATCCTAATCTTCTACTGAAAGCTTCCCTGAGGTGGAAAACTGTACAGCATCAAGAGTCAGACTGTTTTCCCTTGAGTGGTATTAGCATTCAAAAATAATTTAGTATGCAAGAGTCCCCACAAGATCTGAAAAAACATAAATATACATTGACCATATAAAACCAGATTACTAACTAATGGGCAATTAGTGGAAAAGGGCATCAAAAGAAGCACTATGTTATAGCATCCATGAAGAAAATCCCAGTGAGGAAGTAAAAATAAAATAAAATGAAAAATTGAAGACCATATTATCACCTTATTGCTGGAAATAGTTTTTGAAAAATCCATGATAATACCACTTCCAAGACAGTGACCAAGAGCTTGTAGCAATCGTTTGTAGCAAATGTGAGCAATCATTTATCGCAGAAAGACTGAATGTGCAACTTCTAGAAATGTCCTGAAGTGATATATATTACAAGCTTATTAGTGTGCTTGCTCTTCCTATTTGTGCCAATTTGCTGACTCAAAAAAAATATTCTACCATATTTTCAGACACCACAAACAAAGGAAAAAGAAAAAAAATAGCAATTTAACACCTCCCCCATCCTGTACAGCGGCCCCCACCCCCATTTTTATAGCACAATGACTTAAGAATTCAAGCTAACAGAAGAAGTACCTAAAAACTAAGAAAGTGATAATCATTGGGAGGATGGCATGATATTAGGAAACAGAAGCCCAAGCAATACTGACCTCTTCCTTGCAACTCATAATTAAATAAAGAAGAATACATTAGCATTTCACAGTTTAAAAACAGGAAAACTCTTAGGTAGCAATTAAAGGATGGAATCAAACACAGAGACATGAATATCACAAGGGAGAAATTAGCTTTAATTCTGACTGTAAGAAAAGGAGAGGATATAATGGTCTTTTTGATTAAAACCTGAAGATCAGGTGTTTGCAGCATTCTCACTGCAACTCCACTGACTTCCTTCTCTATATCTTAATTTTTCATCTGGAAAATAGATATAACACTTCTCAAATAGCTGTTACAGCCCTTAATTGCACCAGAGGATATAAACAGCATTAGTAATGAAAAAGACTGTAATTTTATTTACGTTTTACTAACTCAAGATTTTTCTGATTTAATTAATATGAATCTCTAAGAAGAGATGGTTAGAAGCAATATTTATTGCCTATAAGCAATAAATGCCTACTGTTATGCCTTTTTTACTAAAGTGTTTGATATTTAAGTTTGATCTGACTCACATAAAGAGCTTCAGCCTGGTATCATTTTAAGTATACCTGTACGAACTTATTCACATTAAAGAATACACTATATAAAAGGCAAAATCCTTTTCATAAGGCTTATACTTGATAGTGTAACTGTGTAACTTGAAGAAATGCATCTTCACATACTGATCAAACTGAGCACTTCCACAATCAGATAAAATAATTTACTCACACAGGTTCTTTTTGAGAAATGAGATTGCATAACTGTATAAACTTCAGCAGTTTCATAGGGCAGAAATTAACTCTTCTGCCAAGCACTTAACACAGTTCCTAGTCTCCAGAATCTAGAAGGTACTATGAAGCTCAACATTTAGTGATAGGAGCTGCATGCTTTTTATGACTTCACAACTTGTCAGCAAGTGATTTGATTATTCTCAAGTAAATGTTGAACTTGGAAAGGTATAGCAGCATTAAAACTGGGAAAAATGGTTAGAAGTACATTCTTAGCACCAAGAAGGGTCTAAAGAATGCTTGACCAGTAGTCTGTCCAATTCTACAAACTGCTCTAATCAAATTTTTTTCTGTCTACAAGATGTCTGACAAACACAAAAGTACTTTAGGAGACAGAAACTAAATTCCTCCTTAGTTTATGCCCAAATTTAGCAAACCACTTGGGCATGCACCGAGTTGTAAGCTTCACTAAGCATTAAAACGTGCTTAAAACTAAACACGTGTTTCAAGGTTTTCCTCCATTTGAATAGAATTCAGCTCACATTTAGGTTCCTACTGCACAGAAACACTACAGACTGCAAATTTCCTGAAGCCAAAGGATTCAGCCACAGACAGCAGTTGTGATGAAATCCTTTGAAGAATCTCTTAAGCCAATCGCTGCTAGTGCATACCGACAACAAAAATTACAGCTCAGCCACTCACACATCGAGAGAAGGTATTGCTTAGTTAACCTGCCTGGATCCATGAGAAAATTAGCATTCTTTCTGACTAAAGTTAAATAAGGACACATATATGCATGTATTTGTAACTAGTTGTCACTTCATTGGTAACACCTGCTCTCTGAATCCATTTACCAACACTTTGCAGAATTAGATCCTCTGCCTAAACAATGCAAAATTTTGATTAAATCAATGTATTTGAGTATTTCACAGCAGCAATCCATGGAAATTTAAGTCAGAAATTGGAATACACCTACAATACATTTTTCATCGGGAAATATATTAATCACTCCAACTGTCACAAGCAAAGCATGCAAGGATAAGTGTTGCTAAGAAGGCAGTTTATCACATCAAGGATAAATTCACCTTTCTGCCTGTGGAGCTTTTCAGAAATACGTCAGCTTGACTTTTTTTTTTTTCTTTTTTTTTTCCGCAGTAAGACCATAGTGAGAAAATCCTTGCATTTTATGTTAATTCAAAGTGCCTGAAGTGAGGATAATTCAAATGATGTCACTGTGACCAATAAGATTAAAACCAGATGAATTAGAGCATCTATAAATAGAAGAACATTCCTACCTTCTGCATTTTTTTCTTTCAGCTTCCATGAAGTTTTAGACTGGCTTGATTTCCTTTGCATGCTTCATTACAAGATCTTCCAGTCCTTTTAACAGCTATTCCTTCAGACAAATCTTTTCCTTATGGGACTGATGCTTGCCTTTACAAATCAAGTTCTCTGTGTCTTCTACTCATACCCTCTTTTTACATAACTACAATTTCTACAGTCCATAAAACACACTAGCTATATAATATAATAAAACCAGGGTAGAATTCTGGGGTTGCAGTATTCTATTTTGTAGGGAATATGCTATTAAGGTGGATATACTCCATTGAAAAATACTGGCTTTATGTTAGTTAACAGTGTAGAACTGTTGTGATTCAGGGCTGTATGCCTCTTCTGCAGCCTAGGGATGGGGGGCAGGGGGTTCTGTTCTGGTTTGAGTTTGGGTGTGTGACACTTCCAACCATGTAGGCTTCCCCAAGGACAACCTTAGTTCTGTGAAACAGCACAAAGGACAATTTGTTTTTTGTTATGTCTCTGATGCCAGGTCTAATTTTACAGAATGCTAGCATAACAATATTCTAGGAGAACTGAACAAATATAGAAAAGATTCGAGGCTGGACAATTGTTTAAGGGGAGACATTGTACAGAGGGAAGTCTCAGGATACATACATTCCTCATTGTACTGAGTTTATTCCTGGTATTATTTCTGCATAGCTTTTCAGAGTAAGTGTCTTCTATAGTTAAGAAGGATAAATCAGTATTCCAACTTTACCTCAACAGAGAAAGTCTGCCTTGGACCTTGTTCTCTTTAAGGTTTTGGTTACAGAAGAAGTTGAACATTCTGCCCTGGTCTAGCTCAAGGATGTCAGTAGTTCCTCTGCTGTCATTGGAGCAACTTATGTACTTCAGGTTATGAACACAAGTCAGTATTCCACTGGATGAGGTCAGAGATCTTGGAATCTTACAGGATTGACTGCCGTAGAATAACCCAAAAGCCATTAATCTTAAAAGAAAAATGACATTGTTTTCAGTACTTTTGGCATGCCATGCCTTTGAATATTTGAGAGCAAACTACCTGTTTAAGCTCTTGCACATCTTCAGAGCTGCTCTTGTTCTGGCTCTGTTTGGTAGAAGTCATTTGCTGCAGCTGTGTTACTTGATGTTTCAGTTCATCTACTTTATTAATAGCTTTGCTTTGGGAATTCAATATAGTTTCCATATCTTCTGTGGTATCAAAATTTACATTTCAAATACCATAACTAACTTGTGGAATTTCCAATGTGAGTGACTACTAACAGGGGAAATACTTCAGAATGACATTAATGAGCACCTTACCTGCTTTTTGCAGGATTTCCTTCTCTTGAAGTGTATTGCTCTCTTTGACTACATTTAGAACTTCCTCCACTTTTTTCACTATACCTTTTGATCCCAGAATTTCTTGTTACGTCCCCTTAAGCTACACTTCCAAATCCTAAAATACGCATGATGTTACTTCTATGTTTATTATATATGTTCTTTTTTTGTCATCTGAAATAAATGGTCATTTTCTCTCTTGGCGCAGTTCCATGATATAAATCTTTCACCTACAGAGCTGGTTTAAATGCATTTTTTGCTGTTCCATATCCTTAAACAGTCTCTGCTGCCAGAATATTTGTAATGTGGAGCCATTCCCTCAGATGTAGGCATCAGTGTAAAGTAAACAGTCATCAAGAGTTACCATCTAAAAGATGTCTGAGATTACCCTAAACTTGCAACAAGATATACTTCCATTAATTTCACAACAACTTGTGCTAAAAGTTAATGAATATTAGTTTGTGGGTTTTTTTCCAGTTGCTGAAGTACAATAGTTTGTAACATAATACATAATACAGATGCCTAAAACCTGAAAAATTGGCTCCTACAGACTTTGCTGGGAATTGTCTGTCCATAACTAAAGGCAAAAATTTGAACCATATTTAATGTTCTATTTCTGGAGGTTCTAGTCTCAGTTTCCAGACATCTAACATAATACTACAATATTCACTTAGACAAAATTGCCATTTGTTCCTATATGAATGCTGAGTAAAAACCTCATGGGTTAAAACTAACTTGTGTTTAACACTCTCTGTAGTTGAAAACTTAAAGGTAAGCTTGTTCCTTTTACCTCTGGCATATGCCAAAATTCTTCCAAAACTAGACTGAACAGATCTGACTTAATGACTTGTCATCCTTTCTATTTTCTCTTCCACTGTAATAATAATAAATGTGCACTAATGTGATGCCTTTCATCTAGAGGTCTCAAACCTCTTGGCATACACTAAGGAGAAAACAGAAAATTCATCTTGCTTAAACATCAGTCCTTTTATTTTTCAAGCCTTATAACAGCTTTTCTTGCTAGTATTTACTAATGAACAGAGGTATTACTGATGAAAGAAATGTTTCTGTTTTCCCAGTCTGCCACTGTCCACAGGATTCTGAAAAAAAATGTAGTATTTAATGGTGGCATCAGGAATACCCAATTTAGAAAGGAGAAACTTCTACTTTTTTTTATTTAAACTGGAAAAAAACAGAAAATAACATTGTGTCTAACTGTTTTCCTTCTTCCAGATTTATCCTAGTCTGAGGCTATCTCTTTAAAGATTCAAAACAATATGTGCTGGTGGTATGTAAATCACCCTTATTCCATAGACTTAGAGGATCTGAAATGTTCAAGTTGAGCGTATGTCCCTCAGAAAATATTTCAGTTTTATCCAGCTGATACTGAATTTAGAAATTAAATTGCTAATGATACCACCTTCTTAATTCCAGTTCCTATCAAATTTTACATTATGTATTCCTAAATGACTGCATTTCTTATATGATAAATCAAAACAGTAAACCACCTGCATAAATTCTCATGACTCCATCCTTCATTTCTCCTGAATGTTACTTCACATACCCACAAGAAATCAGGATCTTACTTTCCCTCTTCCCCTCTATTGCTTCAAACTTTTACAGAGCCAGGACACTTTTCCCTATTGCAACAGATATTATGGATTTCCCTGACTCAATTTTAAAAAATGGCTTATCTGCATCTCTGCCATGCATTCTATCCTCTCCACTTTTCTGCAGAAGATACAGGCTGTTCTGCTACAGCTTTACACACTGAGAGAATGGAGTCTGAATCATGTTGGGGAAGGCGTGTTCAATTCGTGCTCTGATCTTGTGAAACAAAAAGGCAGTGACTGTATTGAAGGCTGAACTCCCTCAAAGAACATCCTCAAAGAAGAGGCCCAGAACTCTGCACCATCAGCAAAATGATACTGACAGGCAAGATGTGAGGGCAGATGGTGAGAAGGGTCACAGTTGTCTTGGAGGAGCACAGTTGACTGGGGTGACCCTGCTCTCTACAGGATTCTGGGGTTCTCTGACTCTGAAGGAGGTGAATCATCTTTCCTGTCAGGAAACAACTATTGTTATTCTGAAATACTCCAAGTCTAGACCTTCAAGGAGTTTTCTCATCTAATATGCAAGATTGCTGTCAGGGCTGGGGAGAGGTCTGGTAGGTGAGTTTATGTGATGGGAAGGACCAATCGTATTAGAAGGAAGTGGAACTGCTGAGCACAGAGTGTGGCTAGGTTCTTCAGCTTTAGCGCAGTTCATCAGTGTCTCTCCCAAACCCTGACCCTATGTACCAAATGCAGCTGGTTGGCAGATTGCCCATGATGTGCCAACCTCTGAAACTGCATCTAACACATGAGGCAATTAAGCAAAAAGGGGCTGCAGAGCTGTGCTGCAAACATATGAGATAGATACCAGCTAGAGTAGACGGGTGTTATGGGTTTAAACCACGACAACAGGCAAAGTGTGAGGTGAGAACTAATGGTGAAAGTCTCATGGCTCAGCACATAAAATGTCACAGGTGTAAAGGACACTTCATTGGTACCAGCCACTGTTGCAAGAGTCATACAATACAAAGCACTTGATTCCTAACCTGCCAGGTCAGGTCTCTTACCTAATCCTCTTCATAGCCATGTACTTAGCTGTTGGCAACCACAAGGGAAAAGGAGAATGTACTCTGTAAATACTCATTGCTAACATTAGTGCCTGCTTGCTGTTCTCTTCACATTTCTGGGCAGGAAAGGTAAAGCTCTGTTCAGTCAACAAATTTTACCTCACTCCTTCCTTAGGGAATACAAAGTCTAGCGTTCAAGGAGTTCTCCTAATGAGTTACTAATCATCTTAACACCTTCTTTAAAACTCTCAGCACTATATCCCTCCTATTTCTCTTCTAAGCCTCTAAAACTGCTTTAGTGCTTACAAAGCATTTGACTCAATATGATATTTGAAAGACCCCTTCTCCCCTGAATTTAGAAGAGTTGATCATTTGCTCTTTTATAGGCAGAGATAGGGATCATGGTCTCATACTCTACCTGTATTCTGTCCTTCAGCTTCTGGGAATACTTCTTCCTCTCATTTATCTTCTGGCTTTTCTCCTCTAGGTCTGCCTCCAGCTTCTTTACCTGCTGCAGCAAAAACCCCTCCCCAGCCTCTGAGCTCTTCCTTTGCTCCATTTCTCTTTGCTGACAATTCTTCTTTGCTTCTACCACAGATTGCTGCATAGCATTTTTCAAATCCTCTTTTTCTCTCTTATAAGAGGCTTGCAGTTTGCTTGTTTTCTGAGTATATTCTTCAGTTGCTCTCTGGTTCTCACTCTCCAGGTTTTCCATCTCATTTATTAGAGCTTGTCTTTCCACACTGTATTTTTCCTCTAAAATTACTTTCTTATCTAAATTTGCTCTCCTAGATGCTTTGCATTCATTTAGCAGTCCATCAGACTCCTGATTTAAATTTAGAAGCTTGTTTTCAAAGACTGAATTGGTATCTACCCTGTCTGTGGATAGGATCGTCTGTGCTTGTTTTGCTTCTGTTCTCGACTCCCTCTCTTCCACCTGCTTCTTGCACAATGTTAACTCTGCCAAGGCTTCTTCCGTTAGTCTCTTGTGTTGTTCTACTGCAATTTCAAGGGCCTGAACACGTTTCCTCAGCAATTGTTCTTCTTCAACTCTGCTTTTACACTGGAGAATCGTTTCCCTTGTCTCAGCAAGAATGTGCTGAATTTCTTCTTCATGAGCTTCTCTCAGAGCCTGTATACTAGCCTCATGTTCATCATTCTTAGTGTTCAGGGCATATATCACCTATAGAATAAGAAAAATAATAGGAAATGTAAGTATCTGGTAAATGGTAGTCATGAATTCAGTTACTGTATTTATCAAGGTGTGAAAAGCTAAAAGAGAATTACTGCTACAGTTTAATCTTTTTTTATTGTTGTTTCTTTGTGGTGGTGTTTTTTTCACCAGGAAACGAAGGGACAATTATAAACTGCAAAACCTTATAGGGAAGGAAGACAATACCGTGAGAAACAACTTTTTTTTTTTTCACTTTTTGTCAGAAATTTCCTTTTTTATTCCATGCAAGTTGTCACTGCATGCCCCTAGTTTGATCTCTCATACAAGGAATGAAATAGGGCCCCTTCTCTAGCTAACTGACTCCATATTTGTAGTCCAGTTCACCTAGCCTTCAGTGCAGGAGGACTACCTGCCATGTTGCCTTTAGCGTTAGCAAGTGCTGGGGACCAGTAGCAGCAGATCTGTAGAGTGAAACCTGAAGTCCTGACATCCAGTTCATGTGGACCAAAATCACTTTGTGATGTAAATGAAAGTAAAGTTTGTAAGAGGATCAAATTTTGCACTCTTGACTCAAACTAAACCACCACTGAAGGTGTACCTCTAGAAGCCATATACCTGGCAAGTTAACTTGGTCAGCATTTCAAGATAGGTATTACTCAACTGCAAGCACCTTCTGGCTTGACTCTGAGAAGTGTTCAGGCAATGAGGTTTTTTTCCTTGCTTCAGTAACAGCTGAAGTAACAGCTGTGAGTCTCAGAAAGCAGGTTTTAGCAGATTGGAGTGAGCCTCTGATGACAGTAAGCAATTTTTTCAAACAACTGATTTAAACCCTTTGATGTTTTATTCTCTTCTACAAAACGCAGAATAATAATTCTCATTATTATAAAGCAAATTATGACCCCAAGCAAGCTCCGTCCGCTACCCATGACAAACGCCAAAGACCTCTCACAGAAGCTGTTTACAAGCATGCTACTATTGTTTTGAAAAGAAAATGTTATTAGAAGCCCTCAGTAGACTGAAATGAAGAGTCAGAGACAAAACTGGTAAATGTGCATGTTAAGCTTACAAGACAGTTATATATAATTGCAAAATATAGTAACTGCCTTGAAAAGAAACATGCTTGTCTTTTTGGGCCCCCATTAGAACACATGAGGCCTAATCCAGTTTTTACTGGGCATAGTTACCTAACTCAAGGGGAACAACACATTAGGTATTAAAATATGTGTGGAGGAGGTTTTCCACTTGTTTGGTTGGTTGGGGTTTTTTTTTAGAGAGAACTTATTGCTCTACCAAACTAGGTTTAGAATTTGTATGTAAGTTATGACAGATACTTTCAGTCTGGCCTGAGCCCATAGAGGTTAATCAAAAGATTCCTAGACAATGTTTGAGAAAATAATAGTCTTAAGTACATAAATAAATACAGAAGCAAGGTCACAACTAATTCTTTAATTAAACTAGAATTTTGGCCTTGTAATCTTCAATATTTCCTCAGGGAAAGCCTCAATTGAGAGACAACAGGCATCTTGACCACAGTAAGGGTCACAAGTCTGTGTTGTATAAGCCCTGAGGATGTCTCCAGAATTTTTGAATTTGCTTAGCTAAGTCTAACCATTTTTGTGCTATCTGTATATGAATAACATATTAAATTTCAGTCATCCATAAATGAAAGCAAACACACAAATACATCCTGTGTGTAGTCAGTTTCCTCCCTGGCAGTAATGAATTAATTACAGAAATCTTAAAAAGTCACAAATGCAAAATATGTTCTGGATACATTTCTGGATAAATATGTGACAACAGAGAGTAACAGCATCATATTCTAGAAGACGAGCAGACAAGATGTCATTGCCTACATTTAAATATGTATATTTCAGGGTGACATGGTTTAGGCCCAGCCAGGAACTAAGTACCATGAAGCCGCTTGCTCACTCCTCCCCTCACCCTGGTGGGATGGGGAGGAGAGTCGGAAGAAAAAGGTAAAAAACTCGTGGGTTGAGATGAGGACAGTTTAATAGGACAACACAAAGAGAGAAAAAATAATAATAGCAATAATACTAATAAAAAAGTATACAAAGTGAGTGATGCACAATGCAATTGCTGACCACCTGGAGCCAATGCCCAGCCCATTCCCGAGCCACGATCCCTCCTGCTCCCAGCCAGCTCCCCCAGTTTATATACGGAGCTTGACATCATATGGTATGAAATACCCCCTTGGCTAGTTTGGGTCAGCTATCCTGGCTGTGTCCCTTCCCAGCTTCTTGTGAAAATTAACTCTATCACAGCCAAACTCAGGACATTGGGCCTTAGATTACATGCTGTTAATTCTTCTCCATTATTTTTAACCATTTTTCCTTTGAAACAGAAATAGTTACAGGATACGAAGCAGTTCCTTCTCCCCACTAACTAAAATCATTCTATAAACCTTTCTTAACTGTTCAGGAGACAGACTGCCGTGGAAGGTAGCAAAGCTGAACTACGTAAGTATGCAGACCACACTCGAACGAGACAAAATAGCGCGTGGCAATAATGGGATAAAATTGTTAGGCTATAATAGCACAGGAATGTATATAAAATATAGAGGCTGTTAATATGTTTTGGAGGGCTTTTAAGGACTTTGTTTAGCTGCTGAAAAGTAGTCGTTCATGATAAAGCAGAACTCATAGCATGCTTAATGCTTTTGCTTAACATTTAGCTATTCACAAAGCCCCAGAGCCACTTTGAGTCAGGAAAAGGAGACATAGTAACCAGCAGCCTAAAAACCAGGAAAAAGAACCGGCCTAGAGATGAGAAAAAGGACCCAATGAGAGAGAAGAAGATCCCAGACCCAAATATTACTGTTGGACTAGACGATGGTGTGAGGGGCAGGAACTTAGACTGTAAGGGTACAACTGCCCAAGGGTTTTAGTATTTGGGGTCTCTCTGTAGAGGCACCCAGCTTCAGCTGTCCGAATCTGTGCACCATAGAGTAAATAATGCTTTTTATTTTGAAGGCCTTGATTAGAGATTCTGCTTTGGGGAACCTAGGGTCAAGCCTGAGGGAAGAAGCAGCACCTGAGGGTGAGCGTGTGTGTGAGGAGTTGAAAGGGGCACCCATCGGCTCACTGGAGTCACCCGTTGTGAAGGGACTCCAGTCCTAGTAGTTAAAGTCTCAGATGGTGTGTGCGCGACTCCTTGATTGGTGTGTGGATGCTCGGGAGCGACTTCTTCCTTAACAAGACATAAAAACTACAAGGAGAAGGTTAATTTTGCCCACGGGTTTAGAATGACCAGTAATTAGTTTGGGCAATTCTTCAATTAACTAGGTCAGATGTTGATGATTGCATTTCTGCGTTTTATTCCACCAGCAAAACATGAACATCCAGCCTTTGTGACTCCAAGACTTCCACTCTTAATGATTAAGGTTATCTAGTAAATCAGCACTGCCTGTCTCATATTATGTGTGTTAAGGCTGTTCCTTGAAAGTGTGACTTCATCACAGAGATTTCACAGATTCCACTGACCATTAGACCATCACCAACATCTTCAGTGAGTTATCTAAAAGAATGGAAGAAACTGGCCTCCCTGCTCTACTATTCCTACACTTCTGTTCAATAGTGGCTAGAACCACAATGAAGAATCTTGACTTGAAAATGCATGCTCTTAAATTTAATCTTCAAGCTTGAGTGCTGAAACTGATTCCTCGCTATCTTAACCTTCTTAAGAGATTTAATTTTGAGAGGGCTGCTGCTCTGTACTTTATGAAATTTAAGTCCCTCACACATGCTTTTCACTCCCTACCGAATATAGCTACTATATTCCCATTCCAGATACCTCATTTAAGAGACTGGAGTTATGCGAGATGAATCTGGGACTTTATGTGCTGGAAGAAAAAATACTGAAAAATTATTTCAGCATCTGTACTTTGTGGGTGTACATACTGCTGGCTAATGTGGTATAAACCTCTTTACAATTGTGTTGATAAACAGCTTTTTAAAGCAGCTCTAAAATGGATCAGTTTGGCAATATAGACAATTGCTTTCAAATTAAAAGAGCGCTAGATTACTCTTGAGTTACTAGCATAATACCAATGGCTACTGCCTCCTTAGACTTCTCCAAAACTGAATGTATTGGGAAACACTGTACTGATTTTACAGCAACTGAGAGTTGTATGACGGGTTGGTAAAAACACTGTTACACACATACACTGGAACATTAACAGTGCAGTGAATATGAGTGCATCTTACTAGTCTTATTTTATCCTCCAAATGCTGTAAATCTAAATGGCATTGCCCTTCTCCTTTTCTTTATGGTGTTGTAAAATAACAAAAAAGAAAACATTCAACTGCATTTCATCAGTGAAGACATAGCTAAAGCATTCAAACCAAAACAGACTCTTCTATCTTCCTACAGTGTTAAACAATACTCTTGTAGGAACCTCTCATAATGAAAACAATGGCTCTAGCAGGCTGCTTACTAGCTGAATTAAGAAGTGAGACAGTTTGGTATGGAAGGTGAGGAGTGACAACAATAAGAAGAATCAAAGGCAAAAGATCGTAAGTGTTCTTCATTCAGGCCCAAGCTAGTGGGCACAAAGCCCACCCGACAGAGAAAGGGCTAAAAGCAAAAAAAAAAGAAAAACAATGAGAAAGGGCACGGGGGGGGGGGGGGGGGGTGCCAAACAGGGTAATCCTGGCAGCACCCTAAACAAAGCAGGGAAGGAGACAAGTTTCGAGCACTCATTAGCTGGCTAGAGACTCATTGAGGCCAGGTGACTGCATCCTCTCCTTTTCACTAGTAGTGGTAGTATCTTATCTTCACGAGCTGGTGAATTTGTTTCTATGAATTCTGTCTTGCCTACTTCCCAAGCAGACCAGAGCAGAGTGGGGTATCTAAACATGTCAGCCTTGAAAGGGTCTCTTTTAAAGCAAAGGACAGAGAAATTATTAAAAGTAAGTTCAGTTATTGAAAGAAATGGCTCTGTATCCCTTAGCCTCCTCTGTCACTGTAACTATACAGATTAGAAAATAAAA